TTGGTCGCGGTGGTCCCGGTGCCCCTCCGCGCGGCCGCCCCCGCACCCAGCCCCCCAGCCCGGAAGGAACGTTTCCTTCTGTCCTGCGCAGCCCGGGAGCTGCTGAGGAGCCTTTGAGGGAGTTGGCGACGGCGGGAGCGCGGAAGGAGACGAGCAGGGCCCGGGGACTCCGCCTCCCAGGCCGCCCCACGCCTGCGCGCACCGCCCCCCCTAGGCGGTCGTAAGGAGCACGGGGGATCACAGGGAGCGCTGGGGAGCGTCGGTGAGCACGGGAGCCGGGCGGCTGAGGATTGCAGTGGAGCCGGTAAGTAGTAGCAGTGCGGGCGGGCGGCTGCCCGCCGCTCTGCAACTCCGCAGCGCCATCTTCAAGGGGCGGGCGTTGGGGGGGGTCTGGCCGGGCGCGGGGGCGCAGGACAGCGCTTCTGCGAAGACGCGCTGCTGATCGTGTCCTCGGTGGCCCTGATGCCCGTCCGCGCGGCCTCCCCCGCACCCAGCCCGGAGGGATGTGTCCTTCTGTACTGCGCAGCCCCCGGCGGGGCGCGCGGGAGCACGGACAGGGACGAGCAGGGCCCGTGGACTCCGCCTCCCAGGCAGCCCCGCGCCTGCGCACACCGCTCTCCTGAGGCGGCCGGATGGAGCGCGGGGGATCTCGTGGAGCGCTGGGGAGGGTCCGTGAGCGCGGGAGCTGGGCGGTTTGGGACTGCGGCGGCGTCGGTAAGTACTACCCCCGCGGGTTGCCCGTCACTCTGCGCCCCCGCAGCGCCATCTTCCCAGGGCGGGCGACCGCGGGGTCCGGCAGTCCGGGCGCGGGGGCGCAGGACAGGGCTTCTGCTAGCACGCGCTTTGCTCGTGGTCGCGGTGGTCCCGGTGCCCCTCCGCGCGGCCGCCCCCGCACCCAGCCGGGGAGGGACGTCTCATCCTCCTGTCCTTCGCAGGCCGTGGCGGCGGAGGAGCCCTTGAGGGAGATGGCGACGGTGGAGGAAGCGCAGCCCCCCAGGGGCGCGCGGACTGGGACGAGCAGGGCTCGGGGACTCTGCCTCCTAGGAAGCCCTGTGCCTGCGCGCACCGCCCCCCCAGGCGGCCGGATGGAGCGCGGGGGATTGCATGGAGCGCTCGGGAGTGTCCGTGAGCGCGGGAGCCGGGCGGCTGAGAACTGCAGCAGCGCCGGTAAGTACTATCCCCGCGGGCTGCCCGTCACTCTGCGCCCCTGCAGCGCCATCTTCCTGGGGCGGGCGACCGCGGGGTCCGGCAGTCCGGGCGCGTGGGCGTAGAACAGGGCTTCTGCGCGCACGCGCTTTGGTCGTGGTCGCGGTGGTCCCGGTGCCTCTCCGCGCGGCCGCCCCCAGCCCCCTGCTTGGGAAGGACGTCTCCTTCTGTCCTGTGCAGCGCGGGGGTGGGGGGGGGAGGGGACCCGTGTCGCAGGTGGCAGCGGCAGGGGGCCGCCCCCCCCNTCCGGGCGCGTGGGCGTAGAACAGGGCTTCTGCGCGCACGCGCTTTGGTCGTGGTCGCGGTGGTCCCGGTGCCTCTCCGCGCGGCCGCCCCCAGCCCCCTGCTCGGGAGGGACGTCTCCTTCTGTCCTGTGCAGCGCGGGGGTGGGGGGGGGAGGGGACCCGTGTCGCAGGTGGCGGCGGCAGGTGGCCGCCCCCTCCCCTGAGGGCCTGGGGGGTTGGCGCAGTTACCTGGGACAGAGGGCTAGTTGGCTCTTGACAACTGCGGACCTGGTAGGCACCCCCAGTCCTCGCTCTGTTGGGAGAGGTGTGTGGGCGCGCCCGGCCCCAGTTCCTCGGACCCGGGGAGCTTCCTGCACCCTCCCTTGGTGCTGCCCTGGGGTGGCGTGTGGTGTTAGGGGCCCAGAAGCCCTCGGCCATCCTTGGTGTCCAGAGGAGAGCGGCCCCTTCCCGCCCTGCTTCTGCCCTGGGGTGACCGGGGAAGGGCGCGGGCTCGCGGTGCAACCGCGCAGGGTACCCGTAGTGACCGGGGACCGCGTGCTTGCTTCTGGGTGTCTCGGTGATGCTGACCGAGCCCGCCCTGACTGCCACAGCATGAACGTCCTCCCCAAATGTTTTTGAGATAACATTAGTTTTATGTGCTTATTTTTTTAAAAAAGCCAGTTTGATTCTGAATATCTCCTTTTTATTTTGTGGGAGCTGCATTTGCCAGCGTGTAAGTTTACATACTGAGCAGGGAACGGTTTGGGAGAAATCCTCCCGTGAGGGCGCTCTGCCTTGCCCTCTATGGGAAGAATGACGTTGGAGTGTGACGGGCTTATCCACTTGTGACTGCAGTGGCTGCAGGCAGGAGAGAAAG